ATTCTAAGACTATTATATGAGACTTTTTTTGCTATTGTTTTTAATAAAGCTTATCGTACTCTTATTTACTTGAAAATGACTGCAACTGACCCGGATTTTTCATGCTGTGGGATAATTTCTGTTTCCAATACATTTGCAAATGGTTTTAATTTTTCCCATTTGGTTTGACGATAAGGCACGCAATGATCAAGTAACCGAGCTATCTTTACTCAAAAAATTCATGTTTTTTATGAACACAAAAATTCTAAACCTTCAGAATAAAAAACGGACGCCTGTGTGTCAGTAAAGAGCTACTTCTTTGCGAAATCTTGAATTACAACATAATGGCTCCCACTGCTTATTGATTAAAGAGACTTTTCTTACACTGTCTTTTTGCGAAAGTAGATAATGAGCAAGCAGACAGAAAAATCCTGTACATGATTACTTCCGGAACAGTGCGACCGGAACCGGAAACAGTTTAAAATTTCCGACAAAAGGAATTCCAGGAAAAAGGGGAAATGAAAAATTTATGGTAAAGCACATAAGCATTTTCTTAAGTGTGAACGCACTATCCAACATAAAGATTCTTCATCATTTAAGGAACTATTGGCTTGAAAGCGGCATGAGTGGTACGTATCAAAATCCTTATTTAAGTTATAAAAGTACAGTGATAGCATTCATAAATCATGCAACAGAAAGCGTTACTACAGGTTAACAAGTGAACACTTCTTAGAATTACAACTGGGTCCAACTCTTCAAAGCATTCGATTATTGTAAGTTGTTCCTACTTCGTTACAAATATGTATTAATTATTGCTTACAAGAATCATCGAAAAAGACGTAAAAGATACAGGAGTTTGAAATGAGGATAGGATAAACATATTAGCCCGGAAGTTAATTACTTTCGGTTTCTGCAATCGAACGCATCGACTGTTGATGTAAGATCATACAAACTGGCCTGTTCACCTTCGAACTTAAACATGCCACTATGTAAAAGAATTGATACACGGACTGAGAAGTAAGTAAAATTCGTCAAGAGGGACTTTGTTATCATCAAACAAGCGCGAAACTATGATCTTCCTCAACGTATGAGTAAATGAACTAAACAAAGAATTACAAGAGGAAGGAGTTTGGTCAGTTTGGAGAGCATTATTACCAGACCAGTGAAGAAGCCTGGAAACCTTCTCTGTTAATTAACAGATTTTTCAAAATAAATACTATAATACACAGTTTTTTTCCTTAAGAAAGAAAATGCATGTCTTTATTCTTCGGCATGATGTAATTATTGACATTAATTTTTCTCGTAGATGTTCTTGTATCATTTTTTCGAATTATCTGAGCACCTACACCCGTCATTTTCGCTGTATAGAGGTGAGATCCAGCTGTTTTACTCTCAACCTACCTTTCAACCTAAATAAAGCCACTTATCAATTAGGGTCATGTATGCCGTTCGTGTTTTCCGGTGGTAATATTCGCTTTTCCTAAGCTCATCTTTGCTCTTCAGCGTCTGAAGGTTTGTTGTTCTCTACAAGTTCATCATACATAGCCGTGGTTGCTATTGATTTTGGGACCACATACAGTGGTTTTGCTTTTGCTTTCAACCACAAGAAGGGAGAAGGAGGCATCCATATGAACAGAGCCTGGGGTCATGACCAGGGAACTGCTACTCTTAAAACACCCACCTCTCTGCTTCTTCATCCTGATGGTAGCTTTGATTCATTTGGATACGAAGCGGAAGAAAAGTACGCCAACTTCCTTGATGGTGAAGATTGAGATTATCTTTACTTCAAACATTTCAAAATGGCACTACACAAGTCAGAGGTACAGTTCATTCATTTCTTTTCTTCCTTCCTTTTGCCACGCCTAGAGCGAAACTGCCATAGACGGACTGTCTATCACTAACTCTAACCTTGACATCAATTCGAAACACCTATAAAATTTATTCACGAAAAATAGTCATAGGAGGAGGTAAAAGATTAAATTACTGCTGATTGTCTCGACAAACACCGTAAAAGTAACAAGCACGGGAATATGCGGTTGTCGAAGAGGAGCCCGAGCGATCAAATCGGAGAGAAAGAATTGAATGCAATAAATGCAATGAAAACAATAAACACTTCATTGCAAAATGATCATAACAAACCAAGGCGACAGTGTTCATGATTTCATTTGATCTGTAATCTTTAGGTAACATCTCCATCTGAGTTTGATCAGTAAAAACAGAGACTGAGGGTCTCTCAGGGTCCTAAATACTAAGCTAGATAGTGCGCATCGTTTCGGGTTTTGTATAAGTTCTCCACTGAAGTTAATTCGCATCAAAAGTATCAGACAAAATCTTTGTCAAATTTATCTTCTCCAATTACAGACATTAGACAGAAATACAAAGCTGACGGCTCGAAATGGAAAAAGAATTGATGCTTTGGTTGTTTTTGCCCACTCATTGAGGTATCTCAAAGATTGAGCTATCGAAATTATTCGCGAGAGAACTGGAGACGAAAAGTATAATGAAAAGGACATTCGGTGGGTCATGACTGTGCCTGCCATTTGGAGACCCGCTGCTAAGCAATTTATGAGAGAAGCCGCTTGCAAGGTAATTACAGAGAAGGTACATAAGTTTGCTTTTCCCTCCCTACGTGAGTGAAGAGGTGAAAATGAAACAAGGAAAGGAAAATACAGGACGAGCTAGAATACAAGTCACTCTGATGCTGTCAGTTACTAACATGGTCACAAATTCTAATATTATCACAAATGTAGGAAGTTTTGTTTTTTTTTTTCTCCTTGGAAGTGTTCGTAAAAAGCGAGAAACTTAAGTTTGAGATTAGTCAGTGTTGTCTTAACGAAACTTTTTTGTCCTCAATTACTTCCCTTTTTTGCTTCTACTTTGGAAGGCGGAGATGGTATCGAATAATGCCCCTGAACAGCTGCTTATTGCCTTGGAACCAGAAGCAGCCTCTATACACTGCAGAGAAATGAAGATGAGAGAATTCGCTAATGAGAAAGGGGATGCCACTGTATCTGACGTCTTTGCTCGACCTGGGTCAAAATACCTTGTTATTGATATCGGAGGTAATATTGAACTTTCAGAAAAATGGGCCGTTTTGACGATGTCATACTACAAAATATCAAAACCTTCTCTTATTTTTTAAAAACAGTAGTGTCTTCTCGAAATCATTTAAAAGCTTCCATTTGTTTGTAAAGACACAGGATTTTTTAGCAACGTGTGGCAAACTTGTAATGGTAATTGAACTGAGTGGAGTGGTGGGACATCGTCGTAACTCATTTGATACTGACCAAAGTGTATTGTCTTATAGCTTGTGGTGATAACCTTCTTTCTCAAACCGAATCAAATGAAAACGACGCTGAAATTTTAAATACACTTGAAAAATTCCTTGGTTAAAAACGGATCAGTCTATAGTCAATAATCTAAAATGCTGATGAATTCGGAAGTAGGCAACAACATTAATGACACTAGGTCTTTAAAATCAAAAATAGAAAAAAATTAAACGGCCATGGACAGCTGATTTAGCTTTAGTGGGCTTCATCAGCCCCAAGCATTATCAGCACAAATATACTAAATGTGATCGATCGAGCTCGTAATGCGTTTAATGTTGGACTCGTGCAATATGAATGTATGGGCTGAAGCTGTAAATTAACTAGTGTTACATTTGTTACTCTAATAAAGGCGGAACTCTCGACGTCACAGCTCATGAAATCTTAACAAATGGGAACATTAAAGAAATCCACCAGGTGACCGGAGGACCTTATGGTGGAACTAAAGTTGACGAGGAGTTCGTTTCCCTACTTGAGAGGTTTTTCGGAACTTATCAGGTGAAAAACTTCCGTGAAAACCACCCAGCAGAATGACTGGAGATAATGAATGAATTTGAGATGAAGAAGCGAGGGCGCCGTGCTCATGAGGGTGAAACAACCAGAATTCGCCTTCCCCGAACCTTTACAGCACTGGTTTCAGAGCAAGGTGGGCCTGATCTGGCAAGTCGATTTGCAAGTTCCTGTAGAACTGACGATGTCCAATTCGTCAGAAATGAATACTTCTGCATAGGACCGGCGGCCATGAAAAAATTGT